CTCATAGTCGTGCATGCCGTAATCGTTAGACCATTGACCTCGCATCCCTACAAAGCCGGGACGGAGCACGCCGGGTTCTCACCGGACCAGGCTCTCTCATCGCCAAGCGCGAAGCGCCGTGAGGTAGTCGGCGAGTCGCATGAAGGGTGCGCTGCATCCTGCTAAGGGTGTTCGGCATCTTGTGCTTACTTCCTTGCGTACGGATGACAGCTGCGTATGACTTAATTTATTTTCTGGTGCTTTCACTTCCAGAGACAGTTGTAAGCACTGTGTAACTGCCTCGAGGGTGCTTGACCATTTTAACACAACGTGGTGCGATCATCCCCCTTGCGCGGAGTGAGGGTTCTCCACCCCGCACAACATGATCTACTCGACCACCATTATGGTTACCGCCAAAAAAAAAAACGGAGGTAAAAAAAAAAAACGGTAACCTGGTTGCCGAGTTCACGAAGTGAATTGGCTTGTTTTACAACGTCGTTGCCAAGCGACGAAAACCCAACCCCGATGGCAAACACCGGGGGGGGCGGCTTGTTTTACAACGTCGTTGCCAAGCGACGAAAACCCAACCCCGATGGCAAACACCGGGGGGGGCGGCTTGTTTTACAACGTCGTTGCCAAGCGACGAAAACCCAACCCCGATGGCAAACACCGGGGGGGGCGGCTTGTTTTACAACGTCGTTGCCAAGCGACGAAAACCCAACCCCGATGGCAAACACCGGGGGGGGCGGCTTGTTTTACAACGTCGTTGCCAAGCGACGAAAACCCAACCCCGATGGCAAACACCGGGGGGGGCGGCTTGTTTTACAACGTCGTTGCCAAGCGACGAAAACCCAACCCCGATGGCAAACACCGGGGGGGGCGGCTTGTTTTACAACGTCGTTGCCAAGCGACGAAAACCCAACCCCGATGGCAAACACCGGCACCCGCGAGGGGTGGTAAAAATTAAAAAAGCGAAAAACGAACAAACTGTGAACGGACCTTAACATAGCTTGCTCGCGGCAAATCGGCGGAGCCGTACATCTAGTCCAAGAGCCCATGACAATGACATATCGCAAGGTGCGAAGAGTGACGCCCTACAGGATGATGTTGTCAACGGCGCAGCGCGAGCCCTCAGGTTTCATCGAACAGATACGGGGCGCCCAAAACCAAGAACAATGCGACATTATGACCGCGTGAAAGGGCATACGCTTGCTTTCTCTATCGATGCCAGTGTTCACCGCAAACTCCACGCGCTTGGCTTCAAAGAATGTAAAAACCGACAGAATGAAGACGCAAGAGGAAGCCTAGCGTTTCACGCGATGAGGATAAACGGAAGAAACCGCACATCAGCCATCTACCCTTGCACCCTGGTCATTGCTGCTGTTAACCAACCTTCTCTGGCGAGAAACCTCGGTGACTCGGGAACGAAAATAAAGGTCAGCAACAGGGCTGCTACTGCAGGCAGGGCTGCAACCAATGCGTAGTGCCGCCAAGTGCCTCCTGGGAAGATCCGCCTCCCACCGAAACCATCGCCGAGCACTACCCACGCCGCGATTGCTGCAAACGCCGAGCCGACCATCCAGAAGCTATTCGGCAAGAACATAGTACGGTTAATTGAATTGGACATGTCAGAATCAAACTCATCCTAAAACTACTCCTCAGACTAACAAAATAGCACACGCAACTCAACAATAGACCCAGTAACAGCTACAGTGCGCACCAACTGCTGTGGAACTGTGCTCTGGCAGGCTGGGTTCCGAATGATGGGAATTCGACGTCGGAAGAAATCAGGTTGCTGTTGCCGGCCTTACCGTATCGCCGAGTGCATGGCAAAAAGTACTACATTCGTCCTGACCATACTGCACGGAGGTACAACTTACCAAGAAACAAAAAAAACTCCTCGTGGAAGCCCGCTCTCTCACCTTGCGATGAGAGACACCATCGCGCCTCGAATCCGGGTGGCAAACAACTCGGCACCGAGCGTGAAAACAACGGGAATCGAGCCACCCACACCTGGTGGTACGTGTACCGCGTTCGTTCAAGTTTCCGAGTGGCTGGGAAGGAATCATGTGCCTCAAGGCGACGAGAGACTGCCAACGCTTGAACATGTGCTACAAACAGGTCAGTATCGACATTGTGAGAGCGACAGGCTTCGGACCCAGACCTGGAGGTTGCCGCTTCTCAAACAAACACCAGAAGCCTCACCGATCAAACAAAAAGTGGTTCAGCAAGAGCGGGGAGAAACTGTGCAAAACCGGGCCCGTTTTCCACGCAGAACAACTCCTCGGTTGCTACGATTGATGCCGAGTGGTCCACTGTCGCCAACAAACCAGGGGCACAAGTCTATCGTGTTCGTTGCAACTTCCTCGGGCGTTGCTTACCTAGGCCGGCACACACCCTAGCCGCAATCAACCAGCCAACAGAAGGAGCCGCCGCGGAAATCGAAGCGAAGGTGCAGTTCATGGCAAGGAAGGTGAGAAGGCAGTTGCGCCTGCCCAGACGGTCTGCAGCGCTTCCCGCCAGAATTCCTCCGACGAGCATCCCCACGAAGACTGCGGCTGTGAGGAGCTCTTCAGGACCGCGCGAAACAGCGCCGGGAAGTCATCGTCAATTGAGAAACAACATATCTCTTGCGGAAGGACCAACGCGGCGTTACCTGGCGTGTTCTACGACCCCTGCACCTCCCATAAACCGGAACGATCATGTTCTTGCGCTGGTGAAGTACATCTACTAGGCCCACAAGTATTGGCCGCACCTTTCTGCGTGCTGTTGAGAGAGCTCCCGTCCTCGTGTTTGAAGGTCCTCAAGATGTAGCCTGCGCTCACGATTTCGACAGCATCCGCCGCATTCCCCAGCGCCAACGGCCTGTCAAATCGGATTCGTGTATTTGTGTATAGGGGGGGGGTGGGGGGGGCGAAAAGTACAGTTGTGATTGGTCAATACTATGGTCAACAGGGCAAACACGACGAGGCCTTGCTGCCCGCAAAAGCGGGAACTGGCTATCGCGTGAAGAAGACACAATGGCGAAATCAACTCATCTTGAAACAGTGAAGACCAGATTGGGACTGCACGACTGCACACCCGCACCTCTTTCGCACCCCCCAATGAGCCGACCTCATCTTGGCGCGACCCCCGATTGGGCCGAAGACGATTGGCACAGTAGCCGTGGGCTTAAATGAGCGTGCCATTGTTCGTTAGCGGGTACGGCGCTTCCACAAAATGTACAGTGTCGAACGCCGACGCCCGGTCATGTGCAACGCCCCTGCCACCTCTACGACAAACCCTGGGACAGAGACAGCAGACCCCTGTGTATGCTGCTGACTGAGCTTCCGCGTGGTGCACGTGGTCTGTCTGGCCCACTGTTCTGCCCCAATATATGTGATTTGGAAGGACATGTGACCTTGCGTGACCACGTATTCCCCCGGCTGCCGCCACCGCATTTGAATATCGGCATGTCGGCGTCAGGGTTCTGCAGAACAAAGTTTCAAGTACAGTGTAGCGACGGCACGATGAGGTTTTGTCTCCGAAAGCTAATGTACCTGCCTCATTCTATGTAATAGGGTGATCAATCTGGGTATATCTTTGTCATTTGTGCAGAATTGAATAATTGAGCATTTGGAGCGGTGTGCGCACCGCGGCTGGTCCTTTCCCTTGGACCCAAACTCCTGTATATCCTGCAAACATTGAACTTGTGTACAACCTTTGTACGTATTTAACTTGTTTGGACGCCTCTACACTATCTTCCTCCGCCCCGCGACTGCATGGCTTCCTTCGAACACCGTTCTACGGCAGTTAGGAAGAAGGGGCAACACACAGACGTGCGGTACTGCTGACTGTAGATATACCCCTTTCAGCGCACAGCAGTGCAGCTATATGCGTGTTGGATTATATACCCCGTCGTCGCGGGTTGTTTCCACATGAACTGCGTTGCATGCATATCAGCTGCACCCAGTCGGTTTCCCTCGACTCACTGAAAAGACTTTTAGGGGGGGAAGCATAGGGGTTCTGACGCTGGCTCTTTTTCTCATACTTTAATCCAACAAAAAGAAAACGGCCTTGCCGCCTGAGGGACCTGGTACTTAGTACTAATATCAGTAAAGGACACCATCAAGAGGCATCGTGCGTGCTGGCACATTCAGGTTTGCCACTGGAGCTGAAATATCGAAGGTCGCGGCAACATCTGAAAACAGTCCGAAGTCTCCGCCGGAACCAAGCGGCATCCAACATTTGTCATAGCCGGGCTCACCGCATCAAACCGTAAACCCCTGAACCGCGGGTTGTCAGCAGTAGCTACTGGCGTCAACTTTCTGTAAACCCGCAGTTCAGGAGATTGGGGTCAGTGGTGGCGAGCGCAAGCAGTAGAAGACACTGAGTGTCGGTCTAATTTGCGGGGATTTGCGGAGATTGTAGGCCGCTCCTATGACCCTTGATATCACCACCACAGAAGCAGTAGATTTGAGCGGGTCAACACGCACGCCCCAATACTATAGGATGTCCTGTAGTGATGTAAGTACTACGCACCAGGTTCCTGGCAACACAGAGCTTATTTGAGCGCCTGCCGTTTAGGCTCTTTTGGCTTGATTTTAGATTAGTGTGAACTTTCAGCTTGATTTCAAAGGAGGCGTGTGGTGGTAGACGCGTGAAATGCGTGCCTTGAGAATCCTCTACTGCCGCCCTGCGCAAGAATCAAAAGACTTCAGTTGTTTGCGATGCCTTCCGACTGGTCTTGTGCCTCCGTGCGCCATTTCTGGTGCTCTTTGCGTTTGTTTAAAAAAAAGTCAACATCAAAGTTCGTGTTCTGTCATCCCTTCACGCATCCCCTTCGAGTGTACCATTGTGGGTATGTCTCGTTTGTGCTTTTATGTATTTTTCCTTCAGTAACAACGTAGCTAGGGTACTGCACGGCCCTCACGCCCCCAGTGGGCGCCGGGGCCCGAATCGCAAGCGACAGTAATCGACGAGGGCGAAAAGGGAGATGAAAATTGAAACGGCGAAGAAGTTGGAAAGCTGAGCATTTGTTCCCGTGCGCGGGTGAGAGTGTTACAACTCAATTGACCACAAAAACCATTACTGCGGTTCCGTTGGTTCCGTGTGAAGAAGCCCGGGAAAAAAAATGCGCGGGTCCGTTGAGCAAGCGGCTTGCGTACAGCACACCAGCTGAGAGTAAACGTGCGTCAATGATGGGTATGTCGTTCGTTAAAACAAGTTGTTGAATGCAAAATGTAGTCTAGCTCTTGTAGGCATTTCGCGTTAGAACGAAGAGGTTAGGCACGGCGTATTGCGTGATGACCGCGGTCGGTGTCGTATTGCTGTTGACAGGTAGCAGGAGACGGCAAGTTCTCTTCGCTACAGCAGCAGTGCTGCAAACGATGTGTGTGCTTCTTCACGGCTTGACGGCCTTCCGTACCCGTTGTATGGCCGGGTTAACGACATCCTGGAATTGTGCGGTGACCTCCTGCAGAGCCCATGTAGACAAGACGTCTTGAGGGTGTTGGCTAATGTTTACATTGGGGAGACACAGCAGTTCTTTGTGTTGCCAATCCTGTGTTCATGTGCTTCGGTGCGGGTGTGCACACGCGGCTGCCACGCAAGTTTTCACGGATTGACCAAACCCCAAACTCGCGAACTCGCAATTGCACGACCTAACGCCCGAACCCAATAACACATGTGAGACGTGCTTGAACTAAGGTCCACACTGATCTGCCGTGTACCCACGCCACAATAGGTTCATGAATGTGCTGTACAGCGACTAGGGTTAGGGTTAGGGTTAGGGTTAGGGTTAGGGTTAGGGTTAGGGTCAGAACCGCTCTGTGTACGTGGTCGTGCCCTGCTCAAGATTCCGCATGTCTAGAATTGCTCACCACCACACTCTCCGATCAAGACCATTGCTCCAGTGTGAGAGTACATGCTCCGTTGGTCAAACGTTTTCGCGGTCCGGGGCTGCTGTCGTATCCAGTCTCACACAAAAGTGTGCATGCAGTGTGCAGCATGTGTGCAAAATACAAAAACGAAAAAATCTCCACCTAGTCCAAGGGGTACACGAAAAACAAATTCCTGGACCCACCCTCCACTTTTTTCTTTTTGGGCCGGCCGAGGGGGAGGGGGTGTACTCATAGTCGTGCATGCCGTAGTCGTTAGACCATTGACCTCGCATCCCTACAAGGCCGGGACGGAGCACGCCGGGTTCTCACCGGACCAGGCTCTCACATCGCCAAGCGCGAAGCGCCGTGAGATATTCGGCGAAACGCATGAAGGGTGCGCTGCATCCTGCTAAGGGTGTTCGGCATCTTGTGCTTACTTCCTTGCGTACGGATGACAGCTGCGTATGACTTAATTTATTTTCTGGTGCTTTCACTTCCAGAGACAGTTGTAAGCACTGTGTAACTGCCTCGAGGGTGCTTGACCATTTTAACACAACGTGGTGCGATCATCCCCCTTGCGCGGAGTGAGGGTTCTCCACCCCGCACAACATGATCTACTCGACCACCATTATGGTTACCGCCAAAAAAAAAAACGGAGGTAAAAAAAAAAACGGTAACCTGGTTGCCGAGTTCACGAAGTGAATTGGCTTGTTTTACAACGTCGTTGCCAAGCGACGAAAACCCAACCCCGATGGCAAACACCGGGGGGGGCGGCTTGTTTTACAACGTCGTTGTCAAGCGACGAAAGCCCAACCCCGATGGCAAACACCGGGGTGGGGGGTGGGGGGGGAGGATTTCTCAATGTACTCTAAATCCTATATAACAACGACTCCACACTATTTCCAACACATGTCAACCAATATTTGTCTCAGTATTGCTGTATGTAGGTCTATAAATAAATACTGAATCTGGTACCTGTGGCTACGGGAGGCTGTATGAGAGAGGCACCTGCTGCTAACACTACTGCTGCACGCGCAACTGCTGCTGCTCTGGGCAGTGGTTCGGCCGGCCCACCCACAAAACGTTCGGAACCTTTGGGCGCGGCCAGCTCAAGAAGACGGCAGTTGCGCTCCAGGAGAGTTCTACCAGCTTGCGAAGAATCGCCTGAGCATGTCCCTTCTCGGGCGATTGCGCAATAAAAAATAATAACCGGATTCTTACCGGGACCAAGCATACCGGGACTGGAATAAATATTGTTAGCGTGTTGGTGTGGACCACTTGTTGTTCGTCTTTACGATAGAAGCCGTTCCGATCTCTAATGCCAGTACCACCTTCGTCTGTCCATACCACCAGCGTTAGATGCGGTCGATTCCCGCGGCCATAGGCTTAGTGGGGCAAGCTCAAACAAAAAGGAAGAGCCCGCAAGCCAATAGAAATCAACGACAGAACATATGTATACTCGGAGAATAGGTAGTCTGCCCCCCCCCGCCCTCCACAAGTGAGATAACGACGAAACCGCATGTCACAGCAACGGCCGGAGAACCACATCCTACTACTGTATTCAGTCTTGGTATACTGCCGGCGGCGTGCGTGGTGTTCCGTGAAGGGTCCCCGCGGATCAGGCCGAGTTGGCAATCCTCTTGATACCATCTCTACTAGATCGGGAGGTGGAATAGTTTCTGAAAAACGTACCTGCAGTAGGCTCGTGCGCCACTACCATTGGCCTGTTTGCGACACAGCAGTATTATATTTGTTGAGGAGTGGGGGGCGCCAATCAGTCTATGTGTGTGACGACCACTGGTCGAACAAAAGATTGTCTTGGAAAAAAAATGACACTTCCACACGGACTCGAACCCATGACTTCGAGAGTCGGGATGACATTCACCACCATCAGATTGTACCACCTCTATAAATTGTGATTACACACTGAAGGCAACAATCGCAACGAGCATCTACGACCACCTGGAAAGATACGTGACGGAGCTCGAAGCGATCTACCAGGACCGCGACATGCGGGGGCTGTACCAACACCTCAAGCGGTCAACGGGCCTCAGCGGGAGACAAGCTGGGGGG